TTAAGTGTATACTGCATAAAGACGAATTAAGTTTAATTAAAATATAGTGTCAGGGATCTGATAGATTATATAAAATTGAAAATAAAAAATTTTCTCGTGCGCCCGTTTAGAAAAGGAATATCGGTTCCCGATATATTTTAAAAATATCGAGTTCACGATATTACTATAATATTGATACCTGAAAGAATCTAAAAAATATCATGCTCCTGATATTACTATTTATTATCATATACCTGATATTAATAAAATATCAGGCACCTGAAATCAAAACAAAATTTATCGCATAGCTATCGGGCGCATTATAAAATTTACAAAAGTGCTATCGGGCCTTTAAAAAAAAAATGCAGATATCGGACACTTGATATATATAAAAATATTTCATGTGCCCGATGATTTTCTGATAATTGACCGATATTTGAAAATATCGGGAGGCCGATAGATATCTGATAGATATCCGATATTCGAATTTTGACCTGTAATGGGAGAGTTTGGAATTTATTTCTTTTTGATGATAGTAAAATTTTTAGTTCAGAAACTGTCATCTCGAATTTAGGATTATTAATAAATTTAGACTAGTTCAACCTTTCAAGTATACACAACATAGTACTGGTGCTATTTATGCTTTGATATGCAATCTCCCTAGGGCCGAAAGAAATAAATCCAAAAATATAATTTATTTGAACTTTCTCCCAGGACTTAAGGAAGCCGATAAGAATCAAATTAATCATTATCTAATACTGATAGTTGATGACCTTAAGGAATTATGGGAGAGATGGAGAGTTCCCAAAACATATGAAAATAAAGATAGGCTCAATATAAGAGTTGTGATAATTGTAGGTTCTTCTGATATTTCAGTTACAAGAAAGTTATTTGGACATAGATCTGCAGTAATGAAATGCCACAGGCAGTGTTGTCAAGGGACATGAGACTGGGACATGGGACGTCCAGAACAGGACAGTCTCAGGACATGTCCTATTATTTTATATCCCGAGGACATTGGGACAATTATTTATCACATGATTATATATGTTAAGATCACATGATTATATTTTGTTGCGATGGAAAAATATTTGTAAAATTAGAAAAAAAAATTATAGAAACAAATTAATCTTTATTTTTTTTTAAAACCATAAATCAAATAATAAAATTAGAAAGGAAGTTTTAGATTATTTTTAAAAAGATTTGTTAATTCCCATTTTGCATTAGTGTCAATGGCAGGATGAATTATATTATCAACTATGTTATCTTCGTCATCATAATTATCTTCCTCAATCACATTTTTTTTTTCATTTAACATATCTGTTCAACCTTATAAATATTCACCAAACTTATTTTTCAAATCTAATTGATTAATACATTCATTTTCAAATTCTTCATCACTTCCATCTATTAAATTTTCATCATCATCTATTAAGTTTTCACAATTTTGATCCTCATTATTTTCTTCATTATTTTCTTGATTATTAATTTCATTATTTTCATTGTCTTTAACAATTTCAAATAAAGGTTCTGATATTGTAGATGTTATAAAAGTTAACCAAAGTGAATAAGTAATATCTGTTCGAAGTTTACTTATTTCAAGAGCGCGTGATGACTAAAAAAATTATTAATAAATTTATTAATAATTAATAATATAATTATAATCGATAAATAATAAAAATTATAAAGATAAATAAATAAAATTGATAATTAAATAAAATTTAAATTATTATTTAAAATAAAAATACCATTTTTACTAAAAATAATATTTAAATTTTATTTAAAATAATTAAATTTATTAAAATATTTTAAATAATTTATTTAAATAAAAAAATTATTATTTTTAATAATCTTATTAAATAACAAAATTCTTAAAATTAATAATTTTATTTAAATAATAAAAAAAAATAGATAAATAAATTTATAAATAAATAAATAATAATAAATACCATTAATCGATTTCGCCGATTTGTTTGTAAAAATCCTATACAAGACCAAAGTCTTTCAACTGATACTGCATTAGTACAAATCCCAAATATTCTACAGGCAACAAAGCTTAATTCACTTGTAGAAACAGAAATATAACACCAGTATCGCCAAACATCTCTATCAAAATGATTATATGAATTAATATCAAAAGGATATTTGTTTAAACGAAAATCATCAAATTCCCGTAATATACATTTTGGTTCCTTTCCAGATCACGCACGATAATAATAAATAATTCATTTATCAAATACCAAATAGTTGATATTAAATATATTATTATTAAAGCATTCCATTTTATATTCTGGATGCAATAAACATGATAATATTAGAAGCGGTTGTTTCCAACTTTCCGATTGTTTTTCAAGTCGTACAATGATTTTTTGCAGCAAATTCAAAATTATCATATCTTGACCAAAATTGTGCAAGATATCCAAAACTATGTGTTACTTGAAATAAACGTGCTTTATCACGTTGTAAAATATTGAGTATTTTATTATATGGTTCTAATATTTTTGTAATTGATAAAAGATTTCTCCAAAAAGTTTCTGAATTAATAATTTCAAATATTGCTTGTGAAATTTTTGAACTATCTCTTTCTTTACGTCGAGGTTTAACAATTGGTGGTTCAAATTTAATAGTCAGTATCTAAAATAATAATTATTTATAATTAAATTAATATTCTAAATAGCAAATCGGGTGGCGTAGTAAATATGAAAAAAAATTCTTACAACTTACTTGCAATGCTTTTTGAGTATTTAAAAGACTTGTACACATTATATAAATACTATTCCATCTTGTTTCCGCAGGAACAATTGACATAATATATTTTTGATAAGTTTCATACTGAAGTTCTTTTAAGTTTACAATAAAGAATTTATTGTTTGAATTTCGAAAATATGTTGCAAGACGAATGCCTTTATCAATTGTAGTCTTAAATTTCACTGATTCTTTGAAAATTTCACCCACACATAAATTAAGTTGATAAGCAAAATATGGTAAAAATACAAGTGATCACATCAAAATTCTCAATCTACATTTAATATAAAAAAAATTATATTAAATAAAATTAAATAAATTTAATAAATTAAATAAATAATAAAAATTAAATTTACCTTGCCGCTGCATATGCTCCTGTACTATCAGTAACGATCGCACAAATGGTAATTTGTTTATTATTTAATTCTTTAACCGTAGATTGTATTTTTTCCATTACTTTAATATGATTCTCCCATTCTAAACTAATATCTACTGCCTTCCAAACAAATGGTCTACCTTCAGAAGTTATTAAAACCATTCCTAATAATTGTTCATTTTTAACATTTATCCATCCATCAAATGTTAATGTTATACCAACTGGATCTTCTCTAAGAGCACTTTCCATTAATTCGTCTGAATTTTCTACTGCTTTTTTTAATATTTTTCCTCCAAGTAAATGATAATCTGATAACTTTAAAAGAGGATTTAGAAAATTAAATAACTCTTTAGCTTCAGGTTTGTTAACCCATGATAAAGCCCATTCACAAGAAACGGTAAGTCGAAGTAATAAAATATTAAATTTTTTTAAATCTTCCTTTGATAATGATCTAACAATATAATTATCCATAGGTTCATATAATGAATGAACAATTATTTTATGGGGTGATACAAATTGAGATGAAGGTTGTGATAAAGAAGATTTGAAAATATCTGAAACTAAAAAAAAAAATTTAAATTTTTTAATAAAATTTAATTTTTTTTTATATAAATAAATTTAACCTTGTCTTTTAGTTGCATTAGTCAAAGGAGGTACACCATTATTTTTTAATAAATTAAAGATTTCTTCTTGCTCTTCTGCAATTGTTTTAGTAAAAAAATTGGAACATTTTTTAAAGTGTTGAATTATTCAATCTTTTTTATTTGGAAACAATTTTTTTTTCCTTCTTCATCACCAAGTACTTCAATACAGGGTTTACAAAAAGTCTTAAAATTAGTTTTATTAATTTTATCGTTAGATCTAACAATATATTGAATTATTAAAAGATGAAGCGGCATATTTCTTTAACAAAAAAAATAATTTTTTAATGAAATATCTAGTCATGTGAAATGTTCGGGACATGTCCCTAATATATAAAAACATGGTGGGACATGTCTCGTGTGTAACTAAAATTTGGGACAATTTCGAGACATGGGACATGTCCCGTGTACAACACTACCCTCAGATGCAAAAGTTTCATTTTTGATAGATCAGGGGTTATTTTTTTGATATACTTTGATGTACCCTTAAATTTGATTATTTTTTTGATAGATTTCGATGGTACCCATTTTTTTGGTTATTTTTTTGATACTTTTTAATAAGTATTAATAAGTGAGT